CTGCCCCTTTCCCAGGTGCTCTGAGCAGTTGTTCCCTTCCAAAGCCACCCTTTGGAAACCAGCCTCTGCACCAGGTGCGGCGACTGCCACAGCCCCATCCCCAAACACCAACCTGGCGGCGCCGCAGCCTCCCCCACCGCCCCGTCCTCCAGCGGGACGATCCCGTCCCTGCCGAGAGCAGGGGCAGAGCCGGCAGCAGCGGGAACACACGGGACAGCCACAGGCCCAGGGGTTGCCCCTGCAGACCGAGAGCATCACCGGCAACATCTGCAGAGCCAGAGGTGGGGTGGGCAGCCATCAAACCAGGAAAGCACATCGTCTGCCTGCTCCGGGTGCTGGCACAGCTCCAGCTCAGGGCGTGTTGCTCCGCCAAACGAGCCCCAAACCAGCCCCGACCCAGCCCTCCCCTCCCACCATCACGAACGTTCCATCGCAGGTTTGAGCTCACGGCCCCCGGAGCACACCCTTAGAGGACTTCCAGCCTTCTCATACAGCTCAGTGAAATGAAACACCGGCTCATTAGCAAACTGCAAACGCTAACACCTAAGACAAGAGACAGAGCATTTTATGATCAAATTTATTTAATTAAATTTCATCGACTGTTTTACTGTAGGTCACACCAGAGACTGCCAAAGTAAACTAAACATTTTACATTCACTACAAGATTCTCTCAAATTTTCACAACTAGTCCAAAAACATGAAAGTTGTCGGGTCCCTTTCCCTCAGTTTGCGTTATGACTCACGTCGACGGCAGCGGGACTCGTATTCCAGCTCTGAGGAGAGAACTGAGCCCTTGGGTTCCCGGGCACGCAGCAGCCCTCCCGGCTGCCACGCGTCAAAAACCACACGCATGTGCGTGTGCAGATCTCTGCATATATTTACAAAACCATCCTCCTGGTGGTCCAGAGGACAAATAACCATTTAACTGCTAATCCAGAAAGGAAAAAAGAAAAATTTGCAGCACAGAGGGTGGGAGGGTGAAATGACGGCGCAGAGATGTACAAACACCCTTGGTGGCCGCGGGGACACGCAGCAGAGAGGCCACCGGCCAGGCGAGTTGAGGGCAGACCCAGCCCAGCCTGGACACTTAGGAGGAAAATATCGTCACTGACCGCAATGGAAATCGGATCACTCCTTCTGGAAGCAAGGCAGGTCCAAAATGATCCCAAAATACCTGTATGCACGTGAGATTATGAGGACGGAAGCTTAAGCAAGGCTTGCACCACCGAGGTTTCTGGGGATGCTGGGAGGAAACCAGGCATTAACAGAACTTTATTTAACTGGTTTTTAAAATAATTTGTTTCTGATTTAGCAAGCATTTTGATAATATACATCTACGATATGCTCTGAACTTTTCCTTAAAAAATGCTGAAGACATCTTCCCTATTGGAGAGTTATCTAGAGGAGGTCTTCCCTTACTGCCTTTTCCTTCATGTGTCTACTCCCAACAAATATCAGAGGAATATGTCAGATGCTACAATTTAAACTTTCATCATATCTGAAAGTATACATCTCTTTAAAACTGTATTTTCAACATGAAAAGAGCTAAAATCACAATTATATTCCATTGCGTAATGTGTGTGAAATCAAGGCCATTTGCATAGCTTCCAAAGTGAAACTCTGGAGAACAGCGATTTCGTTAACAAGACGTATTGCTTCAGGGAAGGGCTATCATCCCCCTCCACCGTCACTGCACGGCCTCAGATGTACTTGAAATATTCTACTAGTACTGTCAGTATCTTTGTCTAAAAAGCCAGCTTCTGGAAAATTTCAAGTTACAATTATTTTATAAATCACAAGCCATTTTTCCTTAATCTTGCCAATTTTAATGAAGAAAAAACATTAGCATTTCAATGTACAAAAGTCCAATAAAACATGATTTTTTTTTTTTAAATCGGTGAGTGGGTAAAGTTTGGGTTAAACTTATTCAACAGTAAAAGTCTTCCAATTTCCACTAATAGAAATGTTTTCAGATTTGACTACAGGATAATGACAATCCAGAAATAAATAGCTATAAATACATTCATTGTTCCTATTCCAAAAATAATCACAGAGGGAAGACACAAAACTGAAATTAACTTATTTGAATCTGTTTCTTTACAATGTGATATGGGCAGGTTATAGCAGAGTGACTCAAGACAGGAAAAAAGCAAGTAGGGAATAAATTGGTCCAGTATTGACATTCATGAAACATACCAGTTAGCATAATTCTGCAGTTAATTCATCCTTTAAATGACACTACTCAGTTGATTTTTATTTGCTTCAGGTATACATAATGAAAGCAGTTTCCTTGGAATCTTTGCTGAGGACAGGTATAGTACCCTGGAGACACTGTAACAACCCCCTTCAGTATGCATGTGCGTATATATAATTATATACAAATAATCATGCATCCACACACACATTGGTATATCAACACTGCATGTGACGGTCCAATCCATCATCATTCATCATTGGCAGCACTTGTTCCTCTGACTTGGCCTTGATTACGTAACTGCAGAGAAAGAAAACACACAATCAAGCATGAATAGTTTCCTCAAACAGCAAGTTCCAAACACCCAGATTTATTAATCTCCAAGAAAAATGGGCAGGGCAGTGAAAACACCACCAGGACTGAGCACACCACACCAGAGCAATGCAAGGCTTGTGGGAATCTGAATTTGGGCGCTGTCCTCGCTGGTGGACAGCGGCTCCGGTCTCTGAGGAGCCTCACCCCCATCAGCGGGTTTCAGCCCGGCTCTGGCCGGGGTTCCACCGCAGTGTCAGAGCGGTCACAGCAGGGAACGCCAGCACCAGGGTGCAGGGCACGAACAAGCTGGCAGCTCTTGGACAGCCCGTTTCCTGCAGTAACGGTTTTAACACCATTTAGTGTTTATAAATATCTGTATGGAACTGGATTTCAAGAAAATAACATGCTTTGAAGATGACAGTCCGCAGCCTCCCTGAATTACACGGACTAAGCCCACGCAGCACTTCGCTTCTGGGCGGGTAACAAAATGATACCAACTCCCCTGGTTTGCGCCCCAAAGGCTCCCGGCAGGCTGCGGGGCTCAGTGCCGGCACCGCGATGACAACAGTCACGCGCTTTGGGGTTCTGTACTCGAGAAGCACAAAGACCCAGGTTATGTGGCCACCGCCTTGGGCATTCGGCCATGGGGCCGGGCACCCCCAGCCCACTCTGGAGCACGTCTGCAGGGAAGGTCTCGTAGGGACCCCGGCCACCACGGGTCACCTCCAGCTGCTGATCACCTCGAGGTTATCAAACAGGAGGGAGGGGAGGCCCAGGGGTGCTATCTGGACACATGTCCATTGAGAGGATTTCTGACAGCAATTCCCATCCATCAGAACATTAACCACTTTCCTCCTTGTCCATCCAGCAGGTGACTTACACAGCTTGATTTGCCTCAGAACCTACAGAGAACTCCTCTAGACGTCAGCAGCCAAAGTGCCTCGAACGGAACCCTTCTTACGCATCTAAACGTAAAATAAAACTGTGAGCTACCACATAACGAACCTAGCGCGCTGTTGGTTAGTAAGAGAGAAGTAACGATCTACATGACCAGGACCAGAACCAGCCTCAGCTGCTGCCAGGGTTTTGCAGAGGGGGCACACAGCACGCCTGCTTGGTGAGGAAGCCTGGGAACTACGGCAGCTGTAAACGATGCTTCTTAAACGTTTAACAGCCCGTGAAGCTTCAGCATGGAGCCACACTGCTCGACACAGCCCCTGTGGCATCTCCGCCCTCACAAAGACGTGGGGCGGATGGGTCCCAGGGCTGTGGCAGGGGCGGACGCTTTTCTGCTGTGCCCTGATCAGCGGATGGGTATCTAACGAAGCAGAGGTGCTCCTCATCTCCAGGAGTCAGATTCACAAACCACGAAGCAAAAGCCTGCTCTAGTGGTTGGCACCCTGCCCACAGCAGGGGGTTGAAGCCAGGTGATCTTTGAGGTCCTGTTCAACCCAGGCTGTGCTATGACTCTGTGGAAACCCCTGAGATGGCATCAGGTGCAGGTGTTTGGAGATACCCCTGTTATAACAGCTGAGAAAAAACAGAACAGTTCAACAGTAGGTCCCCACTCCTCTCACATTTTACAGTACACATGGAAAAGCTGTGTTAGTGCAGCTAATCAATACATTTCTCTGGCAAAAAACTGACCTTTTCAACACGTAATACACTTAACTTCCTGCCACTAATGTCTTACACAAGAAGCTATCTGAAATGAACTATTTGCATTGTTTTGCAAAACAAGAAAAATAGTCAATAAATATGTTTGATATTTAAGAACAAGGATAAATGTCACACCCATAACATGTGATCCAGGTTTTGCTTAAGGTAAGAACTGAAAAGCAGCAAATATTTTGCAAAAATATTAAAAAGTTACTTACCAGTGAGAAATGCGAAACAGAACTTTCTCTACAAGAAGACAAACATCCACAGTCCACAGAGACACAAAAGGGAAATTTTCTCATGCACACAGATGTGTCAAGTGCTGCTCATGCCCTCCAATAACTGCTTGTACGCGCTCCTCACACTGCCACTATCCCTTCTCAGAGAAATTAGATGAAGTCCATTTCATTCCAAATAAAGAACTATGGGTGTGCAAAAGAGAACCCTTCTGACAAAACTCAGTTATAGAGAGGAAAGTGGTCACTACTCCTCCTTCACAGACACCTAGGAGTAGGTGGCTCTAGAAGTAGGTTCTGGCATAAAGCAGGATCAAAGGAGAAATCCAGGTGACTTGAGAGAACACCTGCCACAATCAAAAATATCCAAATGCCAATGAGAGAGCACAACGCCTGCCAGAGTGGAAAGGAATGATGTTCACTCCAAGCACAGTCGGGCAACTGCCAAAGCAGACAAACCCTTCAGCTGATTTGTAAAGAAAGCCTGGTTTTACCAGTCCAGAACATCCACCTATTAGTGAAGACAGACTTCTTCCAAATCCAGAAAACATCTCTACACAATGCACGATGGCTCCACATGGTTTGTAAAGTCCAGGCATGGAAAGCGTAACGAGTGGGGACGGAGGAACTACAGCTGGCTTTGATGCTAAAAGAAAAGATGTGCTAGGCACAAATCACAAAATGCACTTCAGAACCGCTGTCACTGTAGGTCTAAGGCACCAGGCGATCTGTTCGAAGACGTCTGGCCGCTGGAATGAGTTAAACCATGCAAAAAAGCAAGTTCCAGCTGGAGACTCGGAGTGTCTTGAAAGAACCAAGACAACGGAAGGGAAGTGACAAGCTGAATGGGTTTGGGGCATAAAGCAACTGGCAAAATAGAAAGGAAACAGAACTGCAAATCCAAAGACTGCAAAGAACTTAAAACAACCCATCAGGATTTAAAATGAGAAAGGTTCATGCCAGAACTCTGGAAAGACGCTACAGAGGAAGGCTTCCTGCCTAGCCTGTGATGTTCCTCCACCCCCCAAAAGGACGAGCAGAGAAAGTGCCCTGAGGGTGAGTTTCATTCTAGACATCAGTCCAGAGACAGATCAGGCTGCATGTATGTCGTTCTCACAGCCACTGAAGCAGGAAAACTGGCACTATCTCAAGCCCATTAATTTTACTGACTTCCTTTTTGCAACTAACATGCTCAGTTTTGGTGTGCTAACTGGGATGCGTGGAACAGCTGTCATGGGACAGAGAGAAGCTTGCTTGAAGACATGTTTGAAGAGGTTAAAGTAATCAGATCTAATGATGATTAGAAACAAAACAAAGCAAGACACGTGATGGAAAAGCAAGATGACAGCTCTGAATTCTAACTGACAAGCAGTAAAAAGGCACTGAATAGGACTCTGTGCAATGGGTATGGTACCGTAAATAAAGAGGCGTTCGGGCAGACATTCTGGATTCAGTGACATCAGAAATACTTACCTTCCAGCCACTTCCAGCTTGACACAGCACGCTATGCAGAAGCTGGAGGTGCGCGGGTCTGCACGGAGAATCGCTGACGGGGCTGTAATGCTCATCGGCAATTGCCCGAACACACACAAGGGGACGGACACAATGACACTTGTGTCAATTCCCAAACAGGCAAATCTACAGGCAGATAGCACACACAGCACAACCTTCAAAAAGCATTCTTACCGCTTCCAGCTCCTTTTGGGTTTCATCCTCCATTCTCCTAATGTCTTCCATAGTCAGATCAATCCACTTATCAATCCAACAGAACAGCTGGCGATGAAAGTTGGTAAATATCCTTTTTTCTTGCTTTAAGAAGATAAATAAACATTAGACAATAGGCTTACATTTTGCCAAAGACTGGTGAAGTGATTGCAGCTGTTCAATTTGAAAAGTTATAACCTTTAGAACCTTTAGCTGTTAGTTATAACCTGTAACTGTTTCATGCAGCTACAGGTTCAGCCCCCTCACATTCCTGGATCCCACTGAAAGTCATCCAATTTCTCAAATGCTTTAACATGGAAAAAATTGAACAAATTTCACTATCAAAATAAATTTTAAGAAAGTTCAGCAATTCATATTACTTGAAAACGCTGAAGAATCCTTTTAAAATCTGCTCTAGCTCCAAGACAGCACTAGACAGAATAAATGTAGCATCATAACAACCAGTGTATTTAGCATGAGCTGTACAAAAATCTAACACAGAACTGTCGCAGGTTCTGCATTCACTATCAGAAAACCAAGAACGGCCAATTCCTAAAGCCAGAATGAAGCAAAAAGGGAAGTATTCCTGACTCCAAAGATGGCATGCTTGCAATTTGTACCAAATCAGCATCCCAGTAGTACCCGACATACAACTTCAAAAGGTACAAAAACCTTGAGAGTATAAATATTCAAGCTAAGGATTCCACAGCCCTTTCATTACCTGTGTTCTGAATCGATCGCAGTAAGAATATTATTACTGCACCTCTTCTACTCAAATTGGTAGGTTTCACATTTCAAAATACCTACCACCCCCCAAAACCCCACTGTCTTATGTTGAAGAACTGCAACTTGCCAGCTCAGTCCAGCTCTAGTGCCCTGGAATCTCAGCTTTTATAACAGCAACTCGGATGATGAAAGATGCATCAGATAAACCATTCAATTTGCTAAATTACCAGTGTTGCTTCCAACTGCTCTGGTAAAAGTAGTCATGTATAGACAACACAGAAATCTACCTTACTGCTACAACTCAGACTTCTGCATGTATTCAGTTACCCAGGTTGCTACCCAAAGTTCATGTCTTGTTCATCTGCTTCCAGATTTTGCATTCCTCAGGCTCCTGACTGTCCTCAAAAATAATGCTGGTCAAATCTAACATGTGGTTCTGGACAACCAGCAGACAAAGGTAACTTCCTCTGAAGAAACAGCTTCAGGTAAAGCAAGGTTGAAAAAAAAAAAAAAAAGGTGTCTTCAAGTACTCCTCATCAGACCACAGAATCAGTCCTGGCTCTTCTGCTCAGCTTATTCCCTAACAGTGTGTTCAGTTTGAAACATGCGATGGGCAGCTCCTTCCCCAAACCACCACCACGCTGAGGAGTCTCCAATGCCTCCTCACCCTTGGTACTGTGGCTAACACATTTTCTTTAAGCATTGTTTGAAGCTTTCCTCCATTGCTACCATATTTCTTGAAATTCATAAACATTTGATGCAGTTAGCTGTGTGTTCCGCTCGGAGCCCAGAGCCCTGGCTACCACAACGACAAAGGTCTGGCACTGGCTGGCCGTGAGCAAACAGCATGCCCCAGTGCTACGGGAACATCACGTTCGGCTAACTCCCTGCTACAGCACATTGTCTCTGGATTGGAGAGAACTGGCATGACGGTCTAGATTAAACACTCTGCCTACACCTAAGTCTACATTCTAGATATTTAGTCATACTTCTACAAATATTTTACAATTCATGTTCTGATGATGCAGCAATAACAAAACGAGACACAAACCTAAGCTGACAAAGCACTAAAATTGCCAACTAAATCCTAGTGCACCTATTCCACCTGCGTCATACCTGGTTTTGCAAGCATTCAATACCAAAAACATCAAATGCTTTAGAACTGGCAGAAACGCAGCAGCAGTTTCATAAGAAAACTAGAACATAAAATAGTCAAGAAACACCAGCACGTTTCATGCAACTTTCAACTTACGAGAAAAAAAAAAAAAATCTAATAACTCTCTTCCTTGCAAGTGTTGCTGCTTACCAAATCAAGCGTTAGACCTACATGATGCAGACTCTTTGCTTATACCTTTGCTTTTTTACTTAGAAAGTTATTCTGGTACCACCAGTGAAGCACCACTGCTGGCAGATCAGGACAAAAGTGGTGGCACTTTTTGAAGAAATGAACAGAAATCGCTTGACTGTAAGCAACAGGAAACTTCATCACTGTTTCTCCTCAAAATCCCCACCTCACCAGAGACCTGCCCTGCCTACTGCCTGCCCACCTCCAACCCACGCCCTCGCAACAGCCCAGCAAGGGAGAAGCACTTACCTTCTGTATAAAGTTTTCAACTTTGTTCTGCAGTCCCCACCACTTAAATTTGATAGTCACCAACTTGTAAGCACACATTTTAGGACACTCTTCATCAGTTGCTAGCTCTTTCTGTTTATGGAAGGAATTTTTAATTTTTAAAAAATTTACTTCTGTCAAATTAATTTAGTATAATTATTAGAAGTTATCACTCTAAGTATTATGTCAGAATAATAAATTATAACATTAACAGATAGCAACTTAAATTGAATTATTTTACTACAAATTATAATTTTAAGTATTATTAGAATTATAACAATACTGAGAATTCTAAGTATTAGTAAAAGCTCAGCACTGTACTCTGGACACAGGGTACCAGGGATTAACAATCAGGTTGAATTGGTAAGGCGATGCCATCCACGCGGCATCCAGTGCATCCACGTGGCTAACGGCCACGCAGGGCTAATACCACTGCACCAGCAGCTATGGGAGCAGAGGAGTGAACGGTCAGCACCGCACAGATGTGCCCCTGGAGCTGCAGCCTCGCTCCTCAGTGGGACAAGAGACGCCTCAAGTCCCTGAATTCAGGCTGCTTCCATTTAACATCTCAGGCCAGCTGAGAACGAGTGTGGTACTCTGAGGAAACAGGGACTCTGCTCTGCCAGATGTGGTGGTCAGTTACACACAAAAAAAAGGAGCATTCAATGCCTGCCCTCTGTTTCTAGACTAACATTGCTAGTGCTAGTCTCTAAGGAACCGTGAATGTTTTTTTCTGATGATAAAGACTTCATAAGCTTGTAACATCAGTTCTTAGTACCTTCCAGTTTGGCCCCAAAGGTCCTCTCTTCGTCTTGACCGACTGGAATAATGCAGGGTCTTCATCAGCTTTGTAGTCCTATAACAGAAAAAAACCCTGAGAGTCAGAAAAACCCCAGGTTCAATACTTCACTGTATGAAGCTTCTGTTCAAGCCTACCGAATTGGTTCTCCTGAGCGACCTGGCGCAGGACGGGTGGAGTTAGTCTGACCCGAGTGTGTTGAATACTCCATCACACCTGCTCATTCCCTGCCTATCAGCTGTGGTGCTCGATACCCGTTCGTATCGCGATAGCACACCAGGGCTGCCTTCTAGGTCAGAACGTTCTTGTGCTGTGGCTGTGCGGCATAAGCACCATCCTACTGGTTTTGTAACTTCTGAGGGGAAGGGAAAGCAGTAATACAGAAACTCGCGTGCTAACACTTTCCAAGCTGCAACCTAGTTCTACCCGTGAGAATGCGGAACAGAAAGAGAAGGAGGCATAAGTGAGCTAATCTCAGAACTAGAAACTGCATCATCTCAATCCGCGAGACATCGCCAGGCTGAGCGCAGAGGGCACAAGGCAGCGGTCTGACTGTCACTGCTTCACGGCAGACATCGCTGCCTACCGAGCCGCATACAGAGCGGAAAAAGCAAACATCAATAGAGCTGGGAGATGGCAAACACTTCCAACACACGGATTTACTTAATTTCACTGATGAGGGGTATGAAAACAGTTATTAGATTAAGATGCTACTTTGGAAATTGGGACAGAAACAGAAAAAAAAAAGCCCTGTCTACATTAAAGCCTAGATGGACAAAATAGCATTGTAGGAATTCTTCTCAATACACAAACCCCACCAGCACGCAAGGAAGAAGACTGGCCGAGAGCCAAAGCACAAATAAACAACAGTTCTTTGCAGAGTTTAAAGAAAATATCTGTGCAGCAAGAGCTTAACTCCTGACATCAACAAGTCCTTCTTAGGAAGAAAAACAGGCAGCTATTGGAACAGATATTACAGCCAAAAAACTCTGAAGTCCTCTTGAAAGCTCGACAGGCAAAATATCATCATGCAGCAGCAGAGCAATATAGAGTAGCTAAAAACCATTTCAAAGAAATACACAAATATCGTTTCACAGGCAGTTTCTGCTCAAAATCTCAACATATTATGCATGAATGCAACGAACTACTACAAAAAATTATTTAGAGAGACCGTGAACCACATACAATACAGTAATAACCACAACAAGCCCAGAATCCGGGAGCTTATTTACAATTCTTATTCTCAATTATAAGAGCTGCTAAAGTAGTAACAGCACTCCTGACAGCTCATAGTTCACTCTATCAAATAGAATAAAACTTGAAAGCACATATATAGGACAGAATGATTTTAAGAAAACTATTAGAACCTAACATAAAAAATGATACAAGTCTATGTCTTGGCTGCAAATTAATGAAAAACACAGAGTGGCATAAACTAACCAGGCAGGTAGACACAACTTCTGGCTTTTCAAGTCAATTTTGCATTAATTTTTTAAAAAGAAGAACGTACATACTGTCAGTGTTATTTAGCAGAAAGCACCCATGTAGTTGGCTGTGGAAGGAAACACATACTAGCACTCTTCTCCAGCACGATCTACAGCTCTGGGAGCACTCGTTCACAGCACAACAGAAGATCAAAATCAGGTTGATCGAAGTGTGTCATATTCCCAACTCACGGCATGATTCCCAAGTCTTGGAACTGAAATCACCACCAGCACCACTGTGCACTTAACAGATGTGCAAGAAAAGCGTTCATGTATTTGGGTGGGATTAGCTGGACAGCTTCCAGTAACAAGTGTCCCACAGTCACTCCCGTCTCCCACAGAGCCCTGCAGCTCCAGGACAGCTACCAGCTGAACCCTTCCCTGAAGCCACCTTTGAGAGAATGCCAAGGGTCAAGCGAAAAATACAATCAGCCTCGTTAAATTATCACAACCCTGCAGCGTGCGTCTGTGCTATGTACGAGAAGTTAAAGGTCTCCGTGACAGAGACCGTTTTGTAAGACAGACTGGAAGATACGAAGCACCCAGGACAGCATGAAAAAAGCCTTAGGTAGGGGATATAAAACAAAGCAGGGAGGAAAACGCTAGCAAGCTAGAAATAAATTCCTATTTATACGTACATAGGTTGTTCCATGGGATGTGCGGTTTAAGATGCACACTTAAAACAGCAAGCCACAGGTCCTACTGCAGGAATTCAAAACTGAAAACGTGTACAAGCTGTTCTATTTTCTAAACACTTCAACAGCTCTGAAACTAAAGTAACAGCCACGCTGCAATGGGTTGGACAAGGTTCATTCACTGAACATGAGAATAAATCTTGAATACATGAAAACTTTAATCAGAATTGCTGGATCTGATAAATGTAGTTCCATTCTTTCAGTCACACATCCAAGATGGTGCATTTGGGTTGCTTTTCCAGGCAAAACTATGACTGAGAAAATAAACGTACAAATAAAACTTTCCTTCAGCACCACTGACTATTCCTCTTCCCTAAAAAAAATCAGCACACGAAAACCCCACCCAGACCCCTAGAATGATAACTTCCAAACAACAGGCATTGGAACATTAACAAAAACCTGCCACACGAAGCACAGGACTTCCGAAACCACCCAAGAGAGTGAGCTAGCGACTGCTCCAATATCACAAAACTAAGGTGAAGAAACTGTAGGAGAAGAACCTCTGGACAAACAGAACACACAGAAAACAGCTTGTGCTTTCAAAGGGAACATATACTTTCCAAAACCAGCAGCCTTCCCTGACGGCTTCAAGCAAGTCTGTAGATCAGGGAAATTTTGTTACTATCATGTAGCTGAACTTCCAAAAAAAATTCCTCAAGTTCCATTACCTAAACTTCATAAATGGAAAGCATAAATGGAAAATCTTTGTCATGGAGTCATAACCAGTAAAGAGGGAGAAAACGACGACCAGAAATTGCAAATTTTCGTAACAGAAGAGACTACAAGTGTGGGTCCCTGAGAATTTCTGCAAACTAACCCTTAACTGTCTAGGAATGGGGGCAAACAAGTGGAGCGGAAAGGGTGTCAGCCTACAGCAAACTCAGAGTTACCACAGTTTGCATAAAAGTTCAAGCACAAAGTCAGTCTTTGTTTAATAAAGTCAGGACTTTGCAAAACTGCATTTCTGAGAGATGAAATGGAAATAAAAATCTGAATCACATGGTGAAAATTATTCCCAAGTATTCCTGCACAATGACGGGCTGTACTGCGAGTCTGGATTTATCTGCTGGGTAAAATCCACGCCATTTGAGCTTAGTCACCATCAACACAAAGCATCAGTGGAATCAGGCGCGTGCTACATCCATATCCCCACAGCAGAGCATTTACTTACTCCTGGTTCTACTTGAGTTCTATCTGCAATGTCAATGTGGACAACTTCAACACTCTTCCATGTGTTTGGATCTAAATTGTGCACCTGCAAAAAGAGAAAGCGGAACAATTTCCATGCTGCCATCTTACAGAGTGGTGCACCTTATGCAGTACATATGTGTGTCATGGATTTTTTTCTGGACTTCATAAAGACAGTGTTCTCCAAACCTATCCTTTCTTCCTCTGCCTTTCTAAAAGCAAATAATCTCCACAGTTACAGTTTAATTCACCCATCAACCATTTTTAAACCAGCACAAAGCCTTGAGTTTTCATGCATTCAGGAAACCTGGATTTAAGATTAAACTGTGTTCTGCTGTCACATTTGTCAGAACTAAGGAAACCAAGCTCTAACTAGAAACATTACCCATTCATTAATCTACGAGAGCTTTTTGATCGAGGAAGAAGCTGCAGGAATTCCAAAGTGCGAATAGGGCAGGTTTCAATAACCTGACTACATTTAGTAGGTTCCCTAAATCACAGGGCTGCCTGCAATACGGACCAGATGAAGTGTGTGTGGAATGAAGGTATGGAAAGGTCTGGAGATGTAATCAGCATCACACCTGTGGTCTCTTGGGCACACCTGAACTTGCAATTATAGCAAGCAGAGCTGTCCAAGAAACACTCTCCTCTGCAGCACAGCCAGCGCTACAGTTCGTCCAAGCACTGAACATACTCTGACCATGATTCCTTTGAGGATGGCTTATCAATACGTTTGTCACTATGGATAAAAAAAGGCTCCTGAAGAGACCTGTGAACTGAATCAACCATCTAAGGAGGAAAATGAGAACATAGCCAGCCTAGAAAATTTACAGAAGCAGCTTCAATACATAACACAGAAGTATACACAGATAAACTCCAGTAGCCTTGTGAAACCTGTCTTCAAACAAACTTGTCAGCCTAAGCAGTGCTAGCATGTCTAAGGTAAAACCACAAAATTAAAAAGAACTTCCTGAAAACCTTTTTAAACATTTAGGTGAGAAACAAGCATCTGCACTGACCTCAACATAAAAAATAAAATCTTTTTTTGTTCTTGTACCTCGCTAGGTGAGACAGCTTGACCACCTTAGAAGGATTTGAGTTATGTTTTTCTTGTTTTACCTTAATCACTGGTAGGGCTTTGACTTTATGCAGTAATTTTCCATCATTACCAGGTATAGAATACTTTATCTGGATGACTGTGTGTTGAAAATATTACTAATGCTAATATTACTAATACTAAAGCCAACTCACGTTCTCTGATGTCCCCAAATCTGGTTTATGCCAGGTCTCAATTTTTATGAAGAAGTCATCTTTCATGTATTCATTCTGTAAGAATCAAAATCAAAAAGCATGAGTCTGATTACACCTCTCCGCCTAAAGTTTAGGGAAATGGTATTACAAGGCAAGCCTCCACTAAGCATTGACTAGCAACACATTCCATTTACATTATAAAAGAAACATCCCCCTTACCTAACACACAGAAATAGGTACGATGAGATAACCAGTATCGACATCTCAAGTATCAGCTACAGCAAAGTACTAAACTAAAACCAGTAATGTCTGAGAAATCCAACTGTAACTTTGTGCATCCTTCTTCTCAATCCTGACATTCTTTACCTGTGTTCAAGCAATTTTCAAATTACTAATACCGCAGTTAAGACAAAACAAGAATACATTTGCACAAACTTTTTAATAAACGAGGCCATTCTGAGGCAGGGGTAACAGCTAATAAACACTAGATGCTATTGTATGGCACAATTACGATCCCACTAAATCCTATGGCTAAAGACTAGCACAGAACACTTCCAGTTTCAGAAGGAAGAGAGCGTACACTAGCGTGCACATGTATCGCGATGAGTCAAGCTAAACAGTTCACAAACTCATCTTACTCCCTATGCTGCATCCACCTAGTGACAAACTAAATCCAGCTTGCAAACGAGCAGATAAAGCAATTTAACACTAAACTTATAAGCTTCCTTAAACAGGTAACCAAAATATATACATGGGGGAATAAAGTCTTAATGATCTCTTTCCCATGCATCTTAAGTAAAAAACCAAGAAACCCCAAACCTCCCGCTATGTGATCCACCTAGATCTCAGTTAACCCATCTTAGCTGAGGCAGGGTTTCAGACAGCTAGGGACGGGTTTTCTTGCACTGATCTTCCCGCATTCAGCGTAGAAACATCTGATCTGGCTTTTTCTTTTTTAGCATTATGTCTTACCAGGACAGACGTTATGCAGCTGTACTGGTAAGCAAAGGCATAAAAGAAGATGGAAAAAATGAAAGCATTTCTCTGAAAAATTACAGTTCTTTCTAATTATAGCCATGCGCAGACAAATAAGGTAACAAGGAGCTCTACGCCAGGAACCCTGGCAAGGCATATATAAAAGGCTGGAGCCAGCCGGCTGGAGTCAGAGTGAATTGTAGCGACAATAACCAATAAAACAGAATTAAAAAAACCCAACACAGGACTGATAAGAATTCAAATACTCACTGTCACAACTGGTCACGGGAAACACACGCAATGGAAATGAAAAGGAAACACAAACTGTTATTAGATACAATCGCTTATAAAAGGTTTCACATACAAGAAACATTCAAAATCAGTCTAACAGCATTTGTGTGCATCAAGCCAGCAGAGCTCAGCTAGCCCTAACCTTAGAAGCTCGCTCTAAGGTACTGCAAACTATTCAACAGAAACAGTAAAGAAACACAGAGCTCAGAACTTACACAATTAGAAGTATTCAAATAAAGCAGTCACCTTATTCTAACAGACTATGAAGAATTAAATTATTTTCAAAGAGGCTGTGTTCTAGACCTCAAGAGTCACGTCCCCAGCCTTTTCCTGGGGACACTGGATACTGAGACTCTGCAGAAACCAGCGAACTGGTCCGTTAAGGCTGCTCCTCAGAAGCAGCTCTCCTTTCCAGGAGAGGAAATCTCACAAATGCAACATTGAAGTTTTAACTATTTTTTCCACTTGATGGCACCCTCTTTTCTCCAAAACCATTTAAGACCATCCCCTGACCGAATACCGACAGCAAACACCAAACGGGACACGTACTTGTTCTACAATAGGGATACGCGTTCCAAGCCTTCTCGTGGAACACCAGGGAGCCTTCTGGAGCAATCATCCTTACAAAACCAGGAACTTTACTGTGAAAGACAAACAGTGACAACATTCGTAAAATTTTTGCCAGCTGAAATTCCTCATTGATTTCTTCCACTCCAATAAGAAGGGCACATTCTACCTAAACACTCTAAAGGTTATGATGTGCCAGTTATCCAGAGGTAAATATGCAGGAAATCCAACAATGATCACAAAATTATTAAGAAAAAAAAAGGGGAAGGTAAGGATAAGATAATTGAGAGTGAACTAGAAATACTTTTGGAAGCACTATGATCGTGATGAAAACTCCGCTTTCTTTTCTCTTTGAGAACAGCAAAAACAACTGCTGAGGGAGAGTGCTGCCCGAGAGATCTCACCTCCAAGCTCTCCAGCTGAACCACGGGCTCATCAGTACGCAAGCCTGTACCCTGGCTGGCCAGCAGCCTGGCCCCGGCCATTCAGCCATTCCAACCCGGCCTGAAGAGGAAAACCGCAGCCAACTGCAAACGTATTCAGCTCCTCAACTTCTTAGATCTTTTTCCCAACTATACACATTTGGAATACTAATCCTCACAACCTGACAACACATCACAAACTCTAACACCCCAGCTGCCTTCGGGGCACTGCAGCCTCTGGAGAAACATCGACTGCCCATCCCTGCAGCTCAGACCCCATCGGGGTCAGTTTTCCGAAGAGCCCCGGTCTCACCCACCCTGCAGAGCACGTCACTTCAGAAAATATTCTTCACCGTACTCCTCCTCTCTCAGAACATTACCCTACCACACCCCAAGTACTTATGTGATGCCTTTCAGAGTGTTTTTAAAGAGCGTTCAGGCAGTAACAACTCCTCCTTTACCACCAGATCACACAAAGCCATTCTTCCTTTACAATGCAGTGACCATCATCCTTTTCTCTATCCCACTGCATCAACATTCCTGTCCTCTGGGCTATCCTACAAAGCATCTCTGACACCAACCCATCATTTCGGCCATATACCAAGAATCCAAATTACTTCTACTTAGAGATGCATTTGCCTGTTCGCACATCAGACGTTTACATGGTTCTCCATTACTCACATATTTAAAATCCACAGCTTTTCACATTTTCCCTCTTACCAGGGCACTCATGCACAATTCAGCAAATTGAAGAGAGGTACCCTGGGATGGTAAACAATGGAAGGCTGCCCGCACTTTTCAACATTTCCCACTCAACACCAAGCGACCATAATACGTATCAACACTTTTCTCACCTCTTTAAATGATAGATTTTGTGAGTATATTGTCCCTTCTCGCCATCCTTTTCATAAGGCTCATTTTTTAAGACTTGAATTCCTTCACCTCCTCCTGTTTCATTTTTGCTAGCTTCTGCCACGGAATAAAGTTGCCCAACTTGATACTGAAAAGAGAAGTAAAACTTCAATATTAAAGTTAGACAAAACTCTGAACGCATTAAAAAACTTAGCTGTTTCCAGTGAAAATTTGGTAGTACAAACAAAATTATCAGGAAAGTAAAATACACCACATAAAAAAATATCTAGTAAAATATGACAGTCTGATGCAAAACTGATCTGTAGCTCACGAGCACCAGCTCTATACTCAGCTTGTTTCACATTAATGTAACACTTCGGCATAACCAAATATGTTATCCTTCAATTTTCTCATCCTAAAAGCAAAGTACAAATGTTGTTCTTACTTGTACAAAAGAAATACCATTTTTAGTTTACAAGATTTTGAAGTGACTGATTTCCAGCCCTCAGCCTCCCAGACTCACACCTTTAACCAACCAGACACTGCCCTCACAGGACCCATAAGGCGCAAGCTGTAGCAGAAGGAAAGCGTGACATTTTCCCTCACAAGCGCGTTTAGCCATCCTATCGTGCCGTTCATTCACACCTCTCTTGGTGCGGTCAGCACTGCTGGATTCAGGTCTCAGAAGAGGATTCCTACCTTCGCCTTTAGGAAAAGGCTTGAGTCACTCAATGCCTTGATCAGCAGCAAACTTCTGCTGCTGTGCAGAATTGCACAACTTTATTTTCTTGCTCGTCATCTGTGGAGTGGCTTCCACACAACTAAAGGTTCTTTGCCTGCAGGCATTGGTCTCCTTTGAGACCCACTGACCCGCAGGAGGTGAACTATGCTTGGCCGGCGGCTCGCAACCGTGGTCACTCACCTGTGGCAGAGCGGGGGCACGCCTGGATCCGGCCAGGCAGACGCACACGAGACACTTAACATCCTCCCACCCGTCACCCCAAACCACAGCAGGCAGGATGAGAACATACCTCTTGCACGGAGCAAGGTAAGACCACTCGGCTGAAAGAGGAAAAGAGCAAATTCAACAAATTAATAACTGGGCTTGATCTGCAGACAACAGATATAAACCGTAACAAAGACATTCAAGAGGGAAACTTCAAAATGAGTTAATTCAGGTTTTCTTTTGCTCTGTGGCAGTAAGGCTACATGGATACAATGCAACAAACCCCGGTAAAATTCAATGACAGATATGTTACAAAAGGGAAAAAAAGGGTTAAGAGGGTTAGAACCTGCAGGGAAGAGCCAGGAAACGGAGGAGCTATTTCCAGCTCTGCCTCACTTTGCATTGTGCTGAGTTTGTTTAAATTGAGGCTGAGCTTTTTCCATGTATGTGCCCCACAGCAAGCAGTCCTGTCTGCATGATTCAAAAGGAGGACAAACGCACAGGCCCTCAGAGCCTGCAGATGAATTCTGGCAATTACAGCAGTTATGGATCACTGAAAAGGCAATCACTGCTCACACAGGTGGCAGAAGCAAGTGTGTTTCAGGCAGACAGTTTAGTTCTGATCCAATACACTCTACAGTTCACAGCAACGTTGCAGGATGCAGAAGCTGATTGCTCACAGCAACAGCACGCGGCACAGACAGTCTTTTCCAGCTTCACCTTCCACAATAAAATGGACAAAGACAATAGAAATAACTGAAATAACTGTCAAACAACATCCTAGAACAACTGCACTGCTCCCAGGGCTTTTAAGTGCTGTTACCTCCTTGACTGAAAGCTTTAAGACCACCAAGATTCAACAGAACGCAATCCTCCTGAAGGCGTGATTATAAACTAAGCCTGTCCACTGTCCTAGAGAGGAAGAAAGTGACTGTCAGCTGAGTCAACCCTTGCTACCCCTCGCTGTGTCCGGGCTTTGTGAACAGCTCAGTTTGAAATGTTTTTGTTTAGGTACCAACAATCACCACTGCAGATCAAATTCAGTCTTGCACTTTCCGTGCAACTTCTTCTCTATCCCTTACTGGAGAACGATTTATCTATTTCAGTCTACTGTGTGCCTCACTGAAATAGTTTTATATAAACTGTGAAACCTTCAGAGAGAAGCTGAGAAAAACATAATCAGCCTCAAATGTTGCCAAGCATCAGGCTGAAAGCAGAATGGCCAAACGGCAGTACAAACAGAATTCCCGTAAGGAGCCCTGTTGTGTTTCATGGTACCTGATAAAAAAAAGTCCTTAAACTCTTTTTAACGCTTGCTAGCAAGAGCAGAGACAGAAGACACCTGTCTTAGCACTAGCAGACGCTGACTCAATACCTAGAGAGGATGTTCTGCGGCTTGCAAGGCAGCCCAGGAGACTTGTGGGCAACTGCAGCTTTAATCTTTAACAGGACAATATGTAAAACAGGAGCAGAGTCAGGAAATCACAGCAAACGTTCAGGTACAGGGAAAGGTGAGGAAATAAAGGAAAGAATTGTAAGGAAAAGGGTTTTTTTTCAACTTAAAAACAATGACAGACAAGCAATGCAATAATTCAAAAGAGCTGAGCAGCAAAGAAATCTGACGAGACCTTATTTATAAGCACACATCCCACCAGTGTCTTGTAGGAAATGCAAGAAAGACAGACAGCCTCTCCTAGGAGGAGTGGTGCAGGCTCTCACTAAAACGCAAGAAGAGCCGGACACAGCCCTGGTGCCTCAGTCTGGTCAGTCTGCACCTACTCCCTGAAGCTCAGATAAATCTCTGGAAGTGTCCGCGGAAGCCTGTTTGGAAGCGAACAAACACCCTGGCCACTCTCTATTCCTCTGAACCCACCCATCACCCCCCGACACAGCAGAGGCGACACGCTGCCAGGCTCTCAGGTAAAGGCAAAGGAGGTTTGCTGGCAGAAGGCTGTAAGGGAAAGATGCACCCAGCGACCCCGAGTGCCCGGCACCCCCAGAAGAGAGAACCGCGGAGCAGCGGAGACACAGACACGGCTCCGGGACTGTC